TCTTACCACTGACACATCTGTCCATGCAATTTCTACTCTTCTGGATTTAGGGTATGTGGCAAGATGCCATTGTTTGCATTGCAGCAGTATGGGAAAAGCTCTGCTAGGAATTCTGTCACTGTATAAGATAATGATTCCCAATAGGTTGGTCAAGATTTGGGGACCTGCAGTGACTGCCCTGAATAGTCTGTCAGGGCTGGAACTTGGAGGAACAAAGGGATGGAGAAGGAGGGAGGAGTGAAAATCAGTGGGAAATGTAGTTAGAGCCTGGATCAGGGTGTACCTCAGATGTGCTTTTTGGAAGTTCTTGCAGGATATGCAAATGTGAGCCCAGTAGTAGTTAGGTAGTAGTAGTAGTAGTTAGTAGTAGTTAGCTAGTTCGGTATCTCATCCACAAAATGATCCTGGACTATGAGAATGGGACAATAATATGGAGAGACTTCTGTTTTGTAGTATTCCAGGTTCTGGCAATCTTCTTCACAGTGTGAAACAGATTCTGTGTCTGCATTTCTTTCTAAACTGTCAATTTTTCCCACAAATTTTTCAACTCCTTGTATGAAACATTCCATCCCTGGGGAAAGGAACTAGTCACATATGCCTTATGTTTGCTGCAAAGCTGCTGTCAGGTAATATTCTCTGCTATCTCTTTTACTATGGGAGACACAAGGTAACTCATTGTAAAAACCAACTGGATTACATGGTAAAATCAGTTGAATAATCCTCCTGCTCCATTTAGCATGTTCTAGAAATTCCTCTTACAATTCACTTCAAAACTGGGAGCAGCCCCAAGAACCTCAATAAAAAGCAGTGAAAGGTAAAATCACACCTGTGACCTGGTAAGAAAATGTGAAAGAACAGATGAATTTTAATCTAGAAAATAGAAGAAAGTTGTATCTTAATGATCTCCAAGTTCCTAAAATGTGCTGCCAAGGAGCTAGAGCTGAACTATTCTCCATTTCTGCTGGAGTAGGACAAAAGTGCTAAAATTGCTGCAAAGGAGATTTACAGGGACAGAATTTCCAATGCTGAGAATAGCACAAAGGCTAAATTGCCCGAGGAATTTTGGAATGCTTGTCTTTGGGAGCTTTAAGGAAGAGATTAAGGAAACATCTGTAAAAAAGCTATGTGGCTTTAGTTTATCCTGCCTAGGGGAAAAGAAGGATTAGATGACCTTTTAAATGGGTCACAGTTTTCTCTAATTCAATGGGGTTTTCTCATCTTCAGCACAAGGTTTCTCCACTGCTATAATTGCCCGAGGAATTTTGGAATGCTTGTCTTTGGGAGCTTTAAGGAAGAGATTAAGGAAACATCTGTAAAAAAGCTATGTGGCTTTAGTTTATCCTGCCTAGGGGAAAAGAAGGATTAGATGACCTTTTAAATGGGTCACAGTTTTCTCTAATTCAATGGGGTTTTCTCATCTTCAGCACAAGGTTTCTCCACTGCTATTTCTGAAGCAGATTTTCCTCTGGGGAAATCCATTACTTAATCTGAAGTTTTCTGTTTCATTTGTTTGTCTCTGTTTTGCTGTCTCACCCAGGGATGAGATAGAGGAGATACAGGAGATATTTGCTCCACGTAAAAATACTGTAGCAAAAAGAAACCATAGAACCATAGAATCAGCCAAGTTG